TTGTCACTCTGTGTGGTCAAACGGCTCCATCTCTGAAAATTTTCAAGGCTCCATTGCCATTCACTATGAAAGGATCTCCCTGCACAAAGACTCAGAGCACGTATGCTTTCGAGATGTCGTGTGAACCGCATGACCCAAAAAGGATTTCTTATTTTTAAATCAGGTCATGACTCCAATAACTTTCATATTCCCAGCTGACAGGAACACAGATCTCACCACTAGCAGTGACACCACTCACAGCTTGTGAGCCTCCTGAGGCTGCCACACCAGCCCAGAGACCGTCCCAAAGACAGAGCACTCTTTGCAAGTGACTCATGTTTAGGTCAAAGCAGGAGCACTGTCTCCTCATCTCAGCAGGCAGGAGGACCATTTATCATCTTGTTTTCCACAACTCTGTTTATAACCCCATCACTGGGTTCTAACCACGACGACTTTTATCATGCAAGGATACATAGGGGACTGTTTTTAAATAAATACTTAAATAACAACTACTACTTTTAAAGAGAGGTTTTCACTTTAAATTAGCTACCTCACAAAGGGAATAACTTCCTAATTTTCTCCAAGTTTCTAAGAACTCATAGCATTTACAACAGATTTCACACTTGCAGAGCACCCCATGTTCCATAGAACTAAAAAAAAACCAACAAAAACCCTAAAACACATTGCAGATTTATAGACAGCTGAGGCCAAACTGATTCACTTTTGTCACCGAAAAGAGGCCACTTCTTGGGTGACACATGGCAGCAGTCTATACTAACCAAGAACAGTGAGCCTGTTTGTTTGTGGGAGGGAAGAGAAGTCAAAGCCTGGATTTTAAAAGAGAAAGATCAGTACTGAATAATGCTCTTCCCACAGAGATGTCCTCGCAGCTTGAGGATGCAGTGCAGTCAGCACCAAAAATGTGCTGAATCCTGCAGTGTACTAACAGTATGCTTATTCTGCATTACAAGGGTTTTATAGCAAAACTATACCTGAGTAGCATTTACTGGTGAAGGAGAGTTTAAGACAAGTTTTAGTCACAGATATCAAAACAAATAATACCACCAAAATACGGGGAGAGGGCTGAGCTTCTGAAAACCATGCAAAGTTTGTACACCTGAGCAGGTGAGAAGTAAGTGTACAGTTGGCAGAACATCTGTGAAACTCTGGGGACATCTTTGTGCATCTTGCCTTACAAAACTACCAAAGTCACAGGTCAGTTAGGAACGGAGGCTGAGAAGTGACACCCCGGGGTGTCTGAGCCCACCTCTGCCCATCATGAGCCCAGAGGGAAGTGCCAAACTTGGGTATTGGGTTTGCATTGACCATTTATGTGCTTGTAGATTTTCATAGCCTGGGACTGGTGCCATTCTAATAATAATCTTCTGTACAGCCTGTAACAACTCTAAATTCATCTTCCCTTCCTGAAATGCCACAGCTCAGTCCAACAGGCATTTATGAATGTTATCATAGGCAAAAAGATGATGTGGGGGAGTGGAAACATATTACCAGTGCTTCCCTTAGACTCATTCAAAGGAAGATATTTCCCTGCTGAACGTGAAAAAAAAAAAAAAAAAGAGAAAGAAAAAAGCGTTCTTGTATGCAAGTCTGCAAGTTAAAAGTCCAGTACTTCAATATGGCTTAGAAACTGGATTTAATGAAGAAAATGATACTGTGAGTTAAGGAAGGAAAGTCAAGAACAACAGTCAGAAGGATATAAAGATAGTAAGTTTTTGCTCAGAAATGGATACATCATAAAAGTGAATCAGGAAAACATTTAGTATGGAACATGCCTTTGAATAACCCTCTCCTTCACTAATCCCCTTCTACAGAAGCACAACAAAAGCCATATTTCCATGCTGAAACATGCATACAGTACCTCTGAATTCTCTAACATGCCCATCAGGAGCAAAGTGAAAAAAGGAAGACAAAGGAATAAAATTAGGATAAGCACAACATAGAGGACTCACATATTCAGTAAGACTCGCTCACATTAATTAACATTTCTTATAAGGAAAACATTAAAGTGTATTTAACAAATACATCTTTGTAAAGAAAAAAAAGCAAACCCAATAAAGATAATTCTAACAGCAAAGGGGGAAGGAGCCATGGTTACAGAACAAATCTGACATCATAAATCATCAGCAAAGCACAGAGGAAGAATTGTTCGCTGACAGTCAGCTCCTACTCCCACCGCTGTCAGTGACAGAAGCAGCCGACGTCAGAAGTGTAGGATTCAGATATGCAGAGTGAGAAAGGATGAAACAAAATTATTACAGTGGAGATTAAAAATAGCACCTTATCCTTCCTCCCATAGTAGAATTAATTTGACAAATCTGTGCAAACAAATCAAACAGATTGTCCAGGTGAGGAGATGGATGAAGCTAACTCATCCAAGACTGCCAAGCACATCAGGTAAAGATCTGAGCTGCATGTCCTGGTCTCAGGCTTGTTCTCCATCCTGGAATCAATGAAGACTGACTTGTGTCCTAGTTTCTCATTTTTTCAAGCTCCTGACACTGCCTTACAACTCCCTGGTTCCCCATTACCATCAGCTTCACTGCAAAAGTCTTTTTGTAACATATTCCCTCCATCTGCCAGATCAGTGGGACAGAAGGGAGGGGAGAGGAATCTGATACTGACCTTCCCAGTGTGCTGGGCTGCTCTCCATACACAAACCCAGCACTCACTGCTCCAAAACAAAGCCAGCGCTTCCCTACATTCACTGCAGAGCACACACCAGGCCCAGGGGAGCTGAAGGCTTTGGCATCCCCTCTTTCTATCAGCTAGAAAGGTGAATCACTGAATGGAGGCTGATCAGAATAAGATGCCTGAGAAAAACTGATCAGTATCTGATCTCAGAAAAACTGATCAGATACTGAGAAGTATCTGCCTTCTACAGAACTCTGAACTGTCTTGAGCTCTTTTTATCCCCCATTCTTTATTCTCCCCCTTTCTAGGTCCATCCCTTCGCATGATACCTTTTCTGGTGCTGTACTAGACATTTCTCTCTTCTGACCACCACCCCACAAACTGAACAGAGCAGGAGGTAAAGGCAAAGGAGAGCTGACCCCTTCAAAGCTGGGCCATACCCTGGTGCTAACTGTGAACACCAAACTTCTTAGATGACCTTGTATGAGTTCCAGTGAGCTTCTGGTGTCACTTGTGGTGTGATTTTCAACGGGTCTCTTTTCTGATCAAGCCTCCATGATTTAAATCATTTGCAGTATCAAACAAATTACAGAATTTCACACCTAGGCAGCTGGTTTTTCTGAGACACCTCTGCCTTCTCCCATGCCTTCAGAATAAACCACTGAACAGGAGGTGTTTCTCTAAGCCCAGATAAAAACTACTCAGTTGTTGCAATGTACTTATGAGGAAAAAAAATCCTTTCTTGATGAGCCTTTTTTTTCCCCATGCTAAATATTTTTAGCATCTCTACTTCCTACACACTTAGCCAGTAAATCCAGTTCCCTTATTTCTGGAAGTGCTGATCAGATGACTTGAGCATCCTCTTGGTTGAAGAGCACGGCCTAGTGGCAGGAAAATGAAACGTGGGCCCGTCCCACTTTCTCACTTGCCTGCCATAGCTTGAAACAGAACCTCACACCTGTCACAGCTGAAAGCTACTTTTGAACTGACTCCAAAAATTGAATGTCCAAGTAACTGTTGTATCAACAGAAGACATTAAAAGGGAAACAGCACAGTAAATGCCTTTCTTTTCTTTTATTCTTTAGGGCAACAGTACTGTACTGCTGCCCTAAAGAAAAAGATGACTTGTGAGGAGTAATTGCTTCTCTTAGACCCACTGATGCAGCTGGAAAAAACGATCAAGTTTTTGTGCTCAGAATGTCTCTCACCTGAGACATTTTATAAGACACCTAATGAAAGGTCTCAGATTAAAACTTGACTTCTGGACACATCAGTTACATGAGCTGGTCTAATAAAAGCCATTACTTCTCCTGCTGATGTCCTTTGTTATGAGATGGAGAGAGAGCAGTGAAGACTTCTGTGACATGACATCTAAGCCCTGAAAAGGGGAACTCGGGGAGCAAGAGAGGGAAATTCACAGTTTCAGTGACCTTTTGCTGCCTTGTGGCTTGTCAACCAGGCTAAAACTTGATGAAGGGGAGAGGGACCTATATAATGCTGTCACACCAAATGACTGGGTTTTTTATAAGATAACAAAAGCTTCCCATAAATCTGCAGTCCCATGAACCAGGCTGAAAAACCAAACTCATGTGCCCTAGTCAGAGAGCCACCAGACGATGACAGGTATCAAGTGAATTATGTCAGATGGGAGCTGTGGGGTAGGGGTTATTTTGTGGGCTTTGGGTCTTTTTTATATCAGGATTATCAAACTTTTGGGAGAAAGGATCACAAGATATGGTAACTCTCATGTTGCTGATGCTCCAGGAAAACAGCAGCACCAGCAGCTGCTAAGTCCCTTGTTAACCAGTGGAGCCAGAAATAAGAACAAGGACAGTTATGACCCTTCAGACTTAATACCTGCTGTGGAAGTTTGTTGTGGTTGCCAGTACTTAGGTGAGGCATAAAAGGCAGACACACAGGCTCTGAAAATGACATGGATCTCATTCATCCTGCCTACCACCACAGGGGCCTGAATTTCTGCAGCTGGCAAACTTTCTGCCTGTATTTCACAGAAGGTTTGCCAGTTCTGAACTTTGAGAATCTGATGGAACTACTACGAAAAATAAAAGAAATAAAGCTACAGACACAGAGTCTGAGAGCACACATAAATCCCACGGTAGTACTTGAGTCCACCTTAAAAGTGTAACAAAGCACTTGTAGCAATAATATCCAGACTAAAACCAAACCAAACAAACAACAAACCAACAAAAGCCCAAATAAACAAAAAGCCCAACAAAACCAAACCCAAAGTCTATGCAGCCTACTGGTAAGAGAAATAAAGCAGCACTCATGATCACCTTGCTAATCTTGTCCCAAGCTCTTGCAACAAGCACCTGTAACAAAGTACTGGTAACATGAATGCTCTGTACCTGCATCTTCCTCTTGACAGTCTCAAAGGGGAAAGAAAGCGTCTGTGCCACACCAGCTGCTACACAGCCGTTTATGAAGTTCTGGAGAGGAGTGAACCGAACTATGGGCTCTTGCCAGATTTTGTCCAGACTGATGTAAACAAAGAATGAGCCTGCAGAAAATGGGACAGCACCTAGAAAGCAAACCAAGACAGGTTTATCTCAACACACAGTCCGTTAAGAGAACAGAGCTGCTCATCACACAGCCTAGAAAGATGGCAGGAGCCGCTGCCAGTTTACACCTCGCATTCCTCAAACCCACTGCAGATTTTGAAGAACTTTAGTGTCTGGTTTGCCACCAAACACCCACATTGTACCATCCAGATGTGCTGTTAGGGGCACACATTTTCATATTAAAACTTGCATGTTATCAGAATTAACTGCTTTAGTCTCATGTCAGGTCAGTTCTTTCTCCAGGTTATCTTTTTTCTGATAAGCTCTTTCTCAGTCCAACCCAACCCTAGCACTTGTGCAGGTAAACAGAGCTGTCTTCAGTCAAGCTCTTGAGGGATAATTCTGGTCTCTTTGGCTTGTTTCATGCTCTCATCAATTTTATAGTGGGATTATATATGTATTATTATTGTTGTTGTTATGCATTTTTAACAGTGTCATGTTGTGAAAAAGTGGACTCAAATGGCATTTTTAAAGGCTATGGAGAGTAAATGAATAATTAAAATGTCATTTCAAGTAAAGAGAGGATATAACTAATCTTCACCTTTCACATCAGTTATGCACTGCTGCTCATACTGGTTTTGCTGAATGGCTCGGGAGACCCTCTAACACCTAGGCAGGAACTAGGAACAGTGTGTATGTGTGTGTATATATATATATTTAATGAGTTTAATGGTGAAAATCATGCATCCAAGCACAACTACACCATCTATAAAAAAAAGGTAAAGAGGATACACAAAATGCTAAACATTTGGTCATAATTTGAGGGAATAAAGCTGCAGCAGAGGTAATCAGCACTGCAGTGCCTCGAAAATCTACACATCTTCTACAAGAAGACATTTTCTATTTGCTTCTGAAATCAAGTGAGCAAGTGAACCCACTACACAGCTACAACAACCAACAGGCAGTGAGGTGATTTCCCCTGTTATTATTTTACCTAATATAGCTGGTGAAACACCACGGTAGAGAGCACGGAGTCCTTCTTGATGATAAATTTTGTAAAAAGCATGAAGAATTCCCTCATAAGATGGTTCCAGTCGGTTCTGCACAATGAGCCGCGTTTTAATCACATCAGTGGGGTACGTCATGATGGTTGCAACCATGCCAGCCAGACTTCCTGCCATGATGGCCCTCCAGTGGGAGATATGACCCAGCTCATCCGTGAAAAGTATAACAAATCTAAAGTAAATACACAAAAGAAGTCCTATTAGTGACACTGTGAATAAAACACACGAAAAATTAAGGAAGATAATTCTTGATGCAATTGTTCTTCTGTCCACAGGTCCCTTCAGCAGCAGGAATTGAAACTTTAATGTGTAAATCATCCAAGATCTTACTCTATGTAACACTGCACAAGCATCCATCTACAGGGTAAAAATCTCTCTTTTATCTTTTCATCTAGTGGATGAAAATTACCATGAGTTAAAACGTGTCTGCATGAAATTATCTGATCATCAGTTAGAGTCCAGCACACCAGCCAAAGTTATCTTATAAGAAGAAATATGTAGATAATGTCATCACAGGCCTTCTGAGAACAACTGAACCTTCCTGTGTTGCTTGTGTTAAAATGGGAGGGTCCACATGGATATGCCTCTATAGAAGACTTATGTCCAGGCACTAATATGCTGCTCAGGAGGTTAAGTCTAAATTTGAAATTTTGAAACCGAAGCAGAGTTTTAAAGGCTACACCCAACTTGTGCATTTGTGCTGCACAGAAGGGCTTTTCTATGGCAGGGCACTCCTACATAAGGGAGCAGCGTTATGGAGGCAGAAAGAAGCAAGTCAAACCATCCAGGAGGAGAGTTACAGCTGGAGGTAAAGAAACGTATTATCCTATTTTAGAAGCGTTAACTGAACTGCCTAAACAGCAGATCTACATTAAACTCACATGGTGTAACCATGTCCAAAACAAAATGATTGGCAAATTTTCACAAGTCACTGCTTGCTCAGCTGATGTTTTTTCACAGGAATGTGCATTTTCTACTGGATGACAGATCCCTGCATCTACTTGTCCCGAGCCCTGGGAGAGCCTGGGGCAGAAAGCCCAGCCAAGCAGAAGCAAAAGGGCATAAATGTTTTTCCTATGTGTCTTGTACAGTTCTCAAACCCACACTGCCTGATTTTCCTGTGTGTGCACAAATGCGTGGGGAGGTGTCTCTAGGTACTGCCCTGATAACATTTGAAACTGCCACGGAATGACAGTCCGTGCCCAGTAATTGCTGATGGAGCGTGGAGTCAGCCAACCCGCCCTTGCCCAGCCAGCTCCACCCACACCACTGTCCCTGGGTGCTGGCTGTCATCAGCCCCAATCCTCCTTGCCACTGCAATTACTGTTTCCTTAAGCTGCCCTGTAACACCTGTCTTTTTTGGGTTTTGCCTTTACACACGCCATTCTCCTACTAGCAAACACATTGAAGAATCCCCAAATGATGTATTGAGGAATAAGTATTTATTTTCATATTTATTTATTTTCCTGGTAGCCTACTTCAACCTGACGTGCAGAACACCCTGTGCAAATAGAGACAAAGTATGGCCTTGCACAGGGAATACACTGTTTCAAGCTAAAAGAACAATGACGTTAGTTACTTTGCTCAAAATCGACTGGTTTATACTGGTGCAACACACCACCTTTTCTGTGAATTTTAAATGACGTTTAAATCACTGTTTGTGCCTTCCCACTGTCATTATCCCTCCCCTTGCTTGACCACTGCATGTATTATGGCACAACAAAGCCGCCCAGTTTTAGGGTCACTTCATCTGAGGTCTCCTGAAGGGCACAGGCAGCACTGGGGGGGTGACCTGCTGGGGCAGATGAGTGACAAACACAGCGGGCTGGCAGTGCCAGTGAGCCCAGGCTGCTGCCCAAGAACCGAATAACCCACGGCCCAGCTGGGCGGAAATGTCATGTGCTGCCATGAACAGCTGACTGTGATTAAAAAAAAAAGAAGAATGAAGCCCAGCCCCCCTGAGCAGCAAAACATGCTGGTGCGTGCGAGCAGTCAGGCACTCCCTGGAAGGGCTGAGAGATACTGGCAGCAGCAGGGAATCCTAGGAGACAGCACGGTCGGCAGAGCTCGGTCAGCACTGCTCCATGTTGATCCTGCTGCAGCCCTTCCAGTGTTTACCTTGGTTTAATGGCAGTGCATTATCGAAAACAAGACCTTAAAACAAATAATGTCACATATCAATGTCAAAACTGATCAAATTTGCTTAACAACTGCTGCACGACGGGGTAAAATATTTGATTCGTGATTTCGCCTATTTTCCTTGATACAGACAACATAAGTACTCGAGAGCGTATAAATGAATAAAATAAACTGGTTGCAAAGAGCAGACGCGGCGGCCACATCTGCAGGTTGTACTGTAACTTCATTTCTAAAGGAACTTGAGCAGAAGAGTTTTAAGACTATCGACCCTTCATCATTTGAAGAACACTTATGACTTTATAAGAAATTGCAGGTGAAGAACACCTACGGTTTTATAAACAACTGCAGGCATAACACTGGGTCCTAAGAATCGCTACGCGCTGAATAAAGTAAATAAATTATTATTAATAAGTTACGATTCGGGGTCCGTGCCTTCGGGGAGAGAGGGCGCACAACCAGAGACATCAGACTAAACCCTCCGCCTTCCCCCCCGCTTTCGCAACGGACACGGAGGGCCGGGGCGAGCGCGGACCCTCCGGGAGCCCCCCCGGTCCTTACCGGCGGGAGGCGGCGATCTGGAGCGCGCTGTAGGGGCAGAGGCGCAGGCAGGCGGTGAGGTTCCCCTTCCAGAGGGCCCGCAGGCCCTCGGTGCGGCACAGGCAGCGCCCGGCTTCGCGCAGCCCCCGCCGGCAGTGCCAGGTGCCCACCTGCGCCAGCACCGTCAGCAGCTCCAGCGGCGCCGTCAGGCTCAGGCTGAGCGCGCCCGCCAGCCCCGCGCAGCCCAGCCGCTGCAGCGCGGTCACCCGGCCGTCCCGCCGCAGGGTGGCCATGGCGGCGCGGGCCCCGCCGCAGCGGAGGGAGCGCGGGGAGCGGGGCGGCGGGGGCTGAGGGAGCGGAACGCGGGCGGCGGGGCTGAGGGAGCGGCCCCTCTCGGCCCGGCCCGGCCCGGCCCGGCGGGGCGCGGTCAGCGCGGGGGCGGCGCCGCCCGCCTCGGCCGCCGGGGGGCGCTCGCGCCGCGGGTGCGCCGTGCGGAGGCGGAGGGAAAACGCGGAGCGGATTCCGGGGACCGGCCCGGGCTCCGGCAGCGCTCCCTGCTCCTGCTGGGACCTGAACTCACGCAATTTCCATTTGTGAGGCGTAAAAAGTGACTCAGGCGCATTCAGGACACTCCCCTTCGTCTTTACATGCTCCCACAGGGATCAAATGCATCCACCGGTTGCTGCTCATTCACTGCACTACGTGGACAGCAACACCGCATCCCAACTAATGAGTTCTGCTTCTGAAGCCCTGTGCGTTGATGCTAAAAGTGAGGGACAGAGTGAAAAGCATTAATGAGATTTACAAGGTCAGTTAGTTCAGGTTTTGTTGAGGTACTACCAGAGAAAAGGGAAAAAGGGTACAGGAATATGGGAGAGGAAAGTGGAATCGAGATACAAGTAGTGACCAGGATCTATGGAGTGAGGAGATAATGGGTAGCAAGAAGGCAGTAGCAGTGATTTGCCCCAAAACAGGATGTTTGCTGTTACTGTTCTGTTTCTTGTAATTAAAAAACCATCAATCAATCAAACAAACAAACAAAACCTCACAAACAAACAAAACCCGCCTAAATTGAAACCTACATTCAGTATCTTTTTACAGTGCATCCAACAGAATAGTATCAAGTGGCCCTTAGCCTGCCTTTGGCAAGAATGCTCTGCTCCTGATCCAATGGAGTATTCCCAGATCAATAAGAGAGATAAAAGACATCTCTTTAGTTGCCAGGAGCTCAACTACTTCTGGTCTTGTATTTCCTTGGTAGGAAGAAACCATTTAATCACCAGAGAGGAGAAAAACCAATGATAAATGGATGTAACTCACCATATATTAATACTGCTTGGAAACAGAAGACTTCTAACCATAAAAGGGTGATATCTCTTGCTGAGGTTTGCTTTTCTTGCTCATCTGCACAAGGCAAACCTCTGCTTAAGATTCTGAGCACTGGTATTTTCCATCCAGTCTTCCCATTTCCATTGCTCAGAAGCATTCAGTTGCCACTGCTTTCCAGGACATTTGCTGGAGATTCCTAGAGCACAACGTGCTTTCAGTCCATTCCTTCATTGGTGGTGAGAGGAGAAGCCACTCTAGCAAGCAGCTGGGTTGTCTGTACGCCTGATAGCAAAAATTAGCAGATTTGCCTCTGATAACCCAGGATGTCTGTGACTGAGCCAGAAATAGAACCTCACACTGTTACTCCTGTGACTTCATCACGAGCTGCCTCTCAGTACCAAGAGCGACTCACAGTGTCAGCTGGACTCAGTAACTGATCACATCAGCATCTAGGGAAAGAATACCTCAGCAGTGCACAAATTAGTTTCCCGAGTCAAACCCACAGTGACAGCCATCTCTATGAAGCAAGGTTGTATCACTTTTATTCATGAACTGAAACTGTGCAGGTTTCCTGCTGTCCCATGGAACAGGTCTCAGTGTTCTATTTCAAAATGAAACACAACTCTGAAGTTTGATTTCTTCTATAGACTGTACAACCTAGAGGCAGAGAGATATATAGTCTCAACAGGGAAAATTACCTTAGCTTTTAAATTACTTGAGCAGTACATAACATACAGACATAGCTCCTGGAATGACATAACCAAGCCACAAACAGAACCAGAGCCAAGATTCTTCCTTTCACATACTTAAACACACTTCATGTTCAAGTCTTCTTCCAACCATTTTCCTCCCCAGCGTAATCCTGAAGCTCCCAGAGAAGCTTGCCTATGTGCATTGGTTTCCAGGTTTTAAAGCAAACCCATTTGAAATGTAGCTGGTTAGGATGTTGCAATTTCTCTGCACTAGAGTTGATTAACTTCAAATCCACTTTAGCTAAATGACAATAAACCCAGAACAAACAAATGAGCTGGCTCTACACCAGTTTTCCCTGAACTGATTTTCAAAGATGTCATATGACTTGTTCAGGCAAGGGTTTCCTCTTTCCTTGCTACGTCCAGTTTTAAGAAGAAAGTTTTTGTAAGAGTAGAGCAAATCTAGGTAGGTAACAGATGGGATAAAGCCTAGAAGCTTGCAGGGTGCAGAGGGAAGTGTAACTCTTCTGCAAGAGGGAGAGATGCGACAATTATCCTCTCAAGATCTCTTCCTAATGTCTCACCATTATATCTTTTGCATACAATGAGATAACAAATATTGGCTTAAAATTGTATCTGCAAAACAACTCTGTATTGTCTTGTTGCTTCTGTAAACATCAAACCTGCACCTGAAGCGAGGTGCTCAGTCTCCCATGTTCTTTATAGTAATGATTTCCACAGTTTTATTGTACACTCTGTAAAATGGAATGATTTCTTTCATCCACTGTGTAAAAGTGAATCATCCTTTTATTAGTTTTGGCTTTGGCATGTTTAATTAATATGACAAGACACTTCTTCATAACATGAGAACATTGCCAGAGTGATTTCCTTAACATCAGTTTTCCCTGTCTCCTTTCCCAGAGGAAATACAATTTCCTGCTCATTCCCAGAGTAACTCTCCATGCTGCTCCAGGACAGTGCTCAGTCCCAGCAGGCAGGATATTCCACTATGGCAAATGACCCTCTGCCTGCAGCCCAAGCCCTGTGTATCTCCTATGATCATCACCCATCATATTTACAACTGTACTGCCCCAGGAGAAGAGATAAAGTGTCTAACACAAGGGATGAGAGATAAAAAATACATTATGTTTTAGAGTCACGTTTGGAAGATTGCAAGATACAAATGCAACATTGAAAAAAAAGGGAGTATTTGAATGAATAGCTACCCTACCTTGAATTCCACTGGGGATCTCAGAGGCAGAACAGCCAAGGGCTGGGAAGCGCTGGTACCTCCAGCAGCACATGCGTAATGTGCTGGCATCCTTGGGAGCCTTGGTACTGTGCTGAGACACAGGCACAGCGTCCCCACCGGGCAAACACCTACAAGCCAGTGCTAAAACAGGGAAAGGCCAGACATAAACCCTCGTAAGCAGTAGTGGATGAGCTACCTGTGTTGCAGGACAAAGGAAAACAGCGTATTGTATCACAACTAGGCCTTCCCACTGCCCGAATGAGGCAGCTGCCGAGGGGCAACCCTTTCTCTTTGGTATATTTTTAATACACTGCCCACACACGATGCCCACAGGCCGAGGATGCGGGGTCCAGGAGGGTGCAGCCGAGGCCGGGCGCGCAGGGGCAGCCCGGGGCTGTGCGAACCCTCAAGGGCAAAGAGCTGGGCAGAAGAGCAGCCCACCAGCACCACCCGGGATTCACCTCGCGAGTCATTCCTCAAAACCACCCGTGAAACCCCCGACCACCACAGGGCAGGGCCGGGCTCTCACGGGATGCCGGTGACCCCAGGACATCCCGGGGCGCGGCCGGGGCGGGCGGAGCAGCGGGAGGAGCGGGAGGGCCGGGCCGGGCCGAGCCGCGCCCCAGGGGCGGGTCCCCCCGGCGCTGCCGCGGCCGCCGCGCTCCGCCCCGGGGTGGTGGCGCGAAGGGGCGGCGGTGCAGCGCGGCCGGAGGGTAAGGGAGGCCGGCCCTGAGGGAGCGGGGCGGGGCGCTGCCGGCGGGGGGCGCTCCGGGCCGGGCGGGCGGGGGGTGCGGTGCCCTGCTCGGCTGGGGAAGGTTCCGCGGCCGCCGGGCGCTGGGGGCGGAGCGGTGCCCGGCGGGGCTGCACGGAGCCCGCGGGCCCGCCGGGACGGGCCGGCTTGGCCTGGCCTGGCCTCTCCTGCGGCCCCGGGCTCGGCCAGAGGAGCCCGGCCCGTGCCCGGCCCGGAGTGGCCCGGCCCGGCCCGTGGCTGCCGTAGCGCTCGGACCGGCCGGAGCTGGGCCCGCAGCTCCCCGGGGCTGGAGAGAGCGCAGGTCCCCCCGGTCGCCGTCCCTGGGGTCGCCGGGGCTGGGCCGGGCTCCGCTGCGGCCACAACCGACCCGCCGGAGCTCCGGGCACCGCGGCCTCCGGCGGCCCTCGGGCCGGGGCTGGCGGGCGCTTTGCTCTATCCCCACCTCGGGCAGGCAGGATGGGGCACGGCGGTGCTGGGAGCGTTCGCTTCGAAACGCCCCTTTTATTGAGATGTTTGTGCGAGCAGTCACGCATCTGGTTATCTCTCCTTTTCACTTGATTTTGCACAGAGCTAGCTGGATAAACTGCTCTCATCTGTTAAAAATCGGTTTAAACCTCTTGTTTAAACTTCTGCAAGTGACTCTCCTGGTAGACGTTTGTCATAGGATGACTAAGGTTGGAGAGGACCTCTAAGCTCGTGGAGTCCACCTGGGAACACCACCATGTTTACCACTAAACCGTGTCCCCAAGTGCCACAACCACGCATCTTTTGAGCGCTTCTAGCAGTGGTGATTCCAACCTCTTCCAATGCCTGATCACCCTTTCAGTGCAGAAATTTTTCTTAGCATTCAATCTAAACCTCCCCTGGTGCAACTTGAGGCAATTTCATCTTGTCCTGTCATTTGTTACCTGGGAAAAGATACTGACCCCCAGGCTACAACCTCCATTCAGGTGGTTGTAGAGAGTCCTAAGGACCTCCTTGAGCCTCCTTTTCTCCAGGCCAAACAACTGCAGCTTTGTTCCCTGTGTGGTTAACTCTCTGCTGCTTTGTATCAAGTCATATACTTGCCACGTTGCATTTGCTGGTAGCTGCTCTTGCATACCCACCTCTGCAGAATTAAGATATTTCCTCTCGGGCTTTGGGACTGCTCTGGGCTTGAGGGCAGGGAAACTAGTTGTCTGAAAAGTAACCTGGCAAAATATTTTATTTTTTTTTTCTTCAAGATAACCCTCTTTCCTGACTTAGTTGATGGTATGGTCTCTGAAACTGTTGTGATGGCCCAGGGCCTGGCATGAGTGACCAGCTGAGAAACTGGGGATGGTAAGAGCTGTTTGAGTTAGCAGTACTGTGAGCAAATATGAGGGACACCTTTGGATCAAAGTATTCTGCTACTTGCATGTTGCTCATGTGGACTGTATGAGTGTTTCAGGTCAGATATTGCCAGGTTGTTAATGTTTCCCTAGAGTGTAATTTTGTTTTAAAGTATGAACTTAGGTAACACATATTAGGGTGTTGTAAGATAAAGGCAGCCTGCAGTTATTGTAATAAACCCTAGTGCAAGGGCTGATGTGTTCCAAATATTATAACAGAATGATTAAAAGGAAATAATAATAATTTGGTAAAGGGGTAGAATGTCAATTTCCTTGTGATTTATTCATTTGGAACAGTTAAAGCCTAAGAGAACAGCTTATTGATGTGTCAGGGTTGATTCCAAAAGGCCATGCTGCTGAACGGCAATTCAGCAGATCAGGCAGTAGATAATTCTGTGCTTTGTACACAGTTGCATGATGAGAAATACATTTCTGGTGCTTGAAGACCACCTGGCTGCGAAGAAGAACAAGGGTAAGAATGTGCACTGCCAAACCACTCTAGCTTACTGAGCTCTATGAAGAGAGTTTTGGGCTTACTTTTAGGTGATTTGTTACAACAGTAGCAACGTGATTGCAGCCATGGTGGTGTAAGGATATAAATGAAGGAAGATTTGCAAGGGTAGGATAATACCAGTTGGTTTAATAGGAGATGTACTTGCCAAACAGAACAAGGTTTTGGGTACAGCAACTGCTCTTCAGGCTTGACTTTCATATCTCTACAGGTTGCAACAGCAGTGTCCTGGATGCTTTAACCTGCTGCACCACAAATCTTAGTGTGATGGAAGAAGTGTAGTTGGTATTGCACTTTAGCTTTAGGAATCTCTTCATCTTAATGCATAGTGGGAAGAAAGGATTCTAGAGATTACTGACTGCTTCAGTTTTGTAGTAAGTACTTTGGGTGTATCTGCTTTGCTTATGTGAGATACTGAAGGTGTGTCTATGTACGTATGCTCCTGTATGCAGAGATTAATCCTGAGAGATTCAGCCTTGTCTGACAAAGTTATGGTTGATTGAGTGCATTTGGCAGCAGTCCTCTAAGAGGAGCAGTTCAGTCCTGCAGTCTGTGCTGTAGCTGCTGCTTCCAGAGATTCCTGGTTGTTTTATTTTAATTTTAATTACACTAACTTTTCCTCAGTACATTTGTGGGAGATGTTCTGGTATGTCAGGGTACAGAGAGACATTCTCATGAGTGTAGTGGTGCTTTGGGAGTCTCCTGGGGTCTCTCATTTGCTCAGCATGTTGTCTGTGTTTGTAAAAATACACAGCAAACTGGACTACTAAGTCTGATTCTGCTTCTTCTGTGACAGGTGACTTTTGATACAACCAGGCATTTTAGTGAAGGAGCCATAAGACAGAGAAGCCTGAAAAGACTAAAGCTGCAAGAACAGGAGCACATTCGAAAAAGGGGGAAAAAAAGAGAGGGGGTTGAAAGGTGAGAGTATATTTTTAGAGAATGTCCCATTTTCTTGAGATTTGTTACACTGCCTCATACTGAGTAAAATAGAGGAAGAGTAGCTATGTGAAAATCCAGGCTTTGAGGAAACAGGAGTTGGAGAACTTGAAACACTACTATGTATGTATCAGTTGTTAATTTATGTCAGAAAGAAAAGCATCATGATAATTCTGTGTAAGGCATCAGATGCAAGGGTCTGGATTATGAGAAAGGTGGGACTGGAGTCATTCCGAGGTCCCTTCAGATGGGATTATTCTATGACTCTGTGGGCCTAGAGTGAAATCAGAGAGCTTTCTCTCTCAAATTGATCTGAGGCTTGATTGCTTAAGATTTCTGCACATGGACTTTTTGTACTGCTCTATGCTGCAACATCATAAATAATGTCTTTAAGCCCTTAAATAAAATTAAGTGACATGCATTTCTAGGTGCCTCCCAATGACTGGAAGGTCCAAAGCTAGAAATTAATACTTTTCTGTCTTTACCCATTTTTACATGTTATTTTTCCATTGTTGATATCTTTAGGGCAGTGTTCTTAAATTTTGTATATGAGTAATAGTAGCATATTGAAGTTTTGATTCTCTAGATAATGTGCTTGGATGGCATCCTAAACTGTCATTAGTAATTAATCATGTTATATACCTTCATGTCTTAAAAAACCCCAACACTCAGAATGCATAGCATAGTGACATGCAGTGAAAGCATAGCATGCCAGGTCTCTAAAAGGTTTAGCTGTTAATTCTTCCTTATTCAACTGCTTCTTTAAAAACTATTTTTAAACACTTATTATTTGTGTGAACACTGTTCCCTGAATTTTATGGAGCTTTTTGTGATGTGTCACGTTGATTATTTGGTAGATCTACTTTCTGCAGGGCAAGGTTCCCAAAAAGCAGTGGCAGCCTGTTGTGGTTTAACCCCAGCTGGTAATTATACCCTACAGCAGCTGCTCTCTCCCTCCCAGTCCCTGGTGGGATGGGGGAAGAATCAGAAGGGTGAAAGTGAGAAAACTCATGGGTTGAGATCAAGACAGTTTAATAGGTAAAGGTCATGTGCACAAGCAAAGCAAAATAAAGGAATTCATTGCCCACTTCCAAAGGTCAGGCAGGTGTTCAGCATCCCCAGGACAGCAGGGCTCTGTCATGGGTAATGGTGGCTTGGGAAGACAAACACTCCAAACGTCCCCCCTTCCTCCTTCTCCCCCAGCTTTATTGCTGAGCATGAGGCCACATGGTCTGGGATATCCCTTGGGTCAGTTGGGAACAGCTGTCCCAGCTCTGTCCCCTCCCAGCTCCTTGTGCCCCCCCAGCCTCCTCTCTGGTGGGGTGGGGTGAGGAGCAGAAAAGGCCTTGGCTCTGGGTAAGCTCTGCTCAGCAATAACCCCCGTATTACTCTGGTAATACCTCTTAAATGGGACCCTCCTGCTAATCTTAGGGGAGATTTGTTAATCTAAGAATTAGATCCAAATGATTAGTCTCTAGTTGTGTCCTTGGAGACAAAGAATCATGTGATGCTGTTGTCTTGGCAGTGCTTACAAAGAAAACATTAGAATACAAACAATTTGAAGAAACAAAGGACTTTCTAACTGTGGGCATCAGTTGTGTGTGTGTAATTTTTATGCCATGTTTTTTTAAACATGTTATTTTAACAAACAAGATTCCTTGTTAGCCACATGAGATTCTTGGCGACTGGTTGCTTATTATTAGCACTTCAAAGACTTATATCCAATTCTCCAGGACTCAGTCTGTAAAACAAGTGTCATCTAAATTGTCCCATATTGATAATTACCTAGAAAAAGACGTGGTGATGAAAAGAAGTTCAAGAGAGAAAAAAGAAAGCTAAGCTCGAGAGGAGAGAAGAGAGGCAGATAGATGGAGATGAGAAACATCCCCCAAAGCAGCAGAAGGTACCAGCTGAAGAACAGCAGTGGCCAGAGAATATGCCTGAATGGGAAGAAAGGAAATCCCTGCTAGCTCAGAGAAGAGTGGAGTCTGTCAGACTGCTTACAGTGCTGTTAAATCGTGTGAAAGTAAGACTATTTTAAAACATATTTTAAATTTTGAAGGATATTTACTAGAGCTTGAATAATTCACTAGACATTTGATGTCTTGATGCTATTGAGAAGAATTCCTTGGGGCTGACCAAACACTGAGAAGGCCTGAGTTCTGTGTCTTGTGACAATCTCTTCTCAGTCTTTCCCTGAGAGCAAATGTAGTGCATTTGCAGCGAGAAACTTTGCTTTTGGTGCTTTCCTGAGGCATTTTCATTACTGAATAAAAAATAGGGGTGGAAGGTCTGTATCAGCTCTATTAGACTTTATCCAGCATTGCAAGGAAGCAGTTTTGGGATGGGGACTCTGCTTGTTTTGGTCTCAGGTCTACAAGTGACTGAATTAAATCGGCACAGATTATGCCAGTTGCATTTCTAATAGCCTCTCTTTCTGGAGGGCCAACACTAATCTATCAAGTTTATTTCAGTTTGATTCAGCTAATGTCTTGAGAAAGGGAGTAGAGGAGTGAGAAAAATTTTAGTGTTTTGCACACAGATTAATGTTTGGAGGTTTAGTGCTTTGGGCTAAAAAGAAGAATTTAAATGAAAACAGGTTTTAGTTTCTCTGGGGCTTTGATTTCTAACATGACTTTGTCTTTGCTATTTGTTCAAAAAGATTAGCTTACAAGCTTTTAACAAGTGTATGTTTTCCCCAGTCCTAGATGTAAAAATATTTCTAGAGGTCTATAATGCACTATGAGTTGAAGTCAGAGACTACCCTTGCCATTCTGCATGAATTTTAGGGCCCTGTGATACCTGACACTGGCCTTCTTAGTTATGAAGGTGACGTGTTAAATGAACTTCTGTTCTCTTGGTTTCACAGTTGGCAAGTCAAAAAGTGGATCCTTCGTTGGGCGTAAGGAAGGACAGTTCATTTTCTGAAACAGCATTAAAAGACATACCCCAGGAACTGATTAACTCCCACTATCACACGCACAAAGAGCTGAAACATGAGGAAGAGTTTAAGTGCCTGTTAACCCGAAAAGGTGGTGGTTTGTGTAGTGAGGAGGGAGATGTGAGTAGTTGCCATGCATCTGCTTGTCACATAGTCAGGACGGTGTTAAATGAGCCCTCTCCAGCGCCGGGCTCTGAGGGGCTGCCTGGCAGAGACCTGTGCGACTCCTCTGGCTGTGGATCTTTGCTGATTACGGTCACCCCGGACGGCAGGGTCATCGAACCTCTCGGTGGAAGGGACCACCCAGCGCTGAATGCAGCTCACACACAGGCAGTGCCTGAGGAAGATGTTTGCAAAAAGCAAAAGGTTTACGAGACTGATGAATTCATCCATTATTTACTGAACTACTATCAGACACCACACTATGCACGTGTTTGCCTAGAGCCAAAAAACACGGCGAGCAAGTCCTGGTGGAAGAGAGTGGTGTCTGGTGACAGTGGTGGTTTTGACACCAGCTTGAGCAACAAACATGGGCAGCATCTCAGAGGAGTGAGTCCTGCACAAAACCTCCACAAAACAAATTGTAGCAGTAATTACAGACTGGTCATCACTGTTGGGGAACTTGAATCAACAGACAAAGTGTCAGACAACAAAGTCCATGGGGGCAAGCTTGCAAAAAAGTTGCAAGTGCAGAGGAATGACTCACTCTCTGTTGATAACTTACCACATGCTGTTCTGAATCATTCTTTGGAGTGCGCTGCTGTTACCTGTGATAAGGAATTCAGACGAGAAGATGGTAGAGATGAAGGCGCTGTACCATACGAAACATGTAGATCTGCTTTCAGATTAAAGGATTTGTTGGAAGAGATCAGTGACTCTGAGTGCTTTAGAGAGGGATGTGGCAGCTCAATGAAGAGAGCAGAAAAATGGTGTGAAGAAATTCACAGCAATTGTAACAGAGGGTGCTTGCCTGCAAGAGGTGGGGAAAGGAAATTGCTGGTTTACCATAAAAATGTAGCTCTGGAAGGTCAAGAGAAGGAAACCAACAAATGTAACTCCTGTTCTAATTCTGTCCATGAGGGCTTGGCAAGGCAGTGGGAACATAAGCTTAAAAAGTCATGCAAGAGGTCTAGTAGTAAATTAAGACATGAAGGACAGAAAAGTGAGAGACAATCCACGGAAGAGGAGAGAAATGCTCATAAAATGAAGAAAAAGCGAAAAAAGCTTTCTCCTGATTTTTTATCAGATGAATGTGGCTTTTCAGAGACAGACAGTTGCATGCAGCTGGAATCACTCAGAAAGATACAGAGAAAATGTAAGAAAATGTTCCACAAAAAAGTGAAATTCAAGACACTTCATACTGCCTTGGCAGCACCAGATGTTACCCCTCATGATGGCTCACCCCTTCAGGAGACCCTCCAGAGGAGAGGTGAGAAAGAGGGACACCACAACTAAGGGGACTGAATTTGACAGACTCTGCAGGTGAGGTTGCCACAGTTCTTACAGTGATGAATGGTGTTTTTAAAAAGAGTTTTAAAAATTGTAACTGTGGCATAAAGAAACAGTGCAGCTTCTCTGCAATTACAGATTTGTTCAGTTTAGCTCAGAAACAGTACACACAGCTGCAGCTGAAGAGTAGTATTCATCTGCTTAATTGGGTAGCAAAGTATCTGGCAGGGGCGTTTGCAGATGGGTGCTTATTCTGTTAAAACAACACCCATGTGCACAACATGCTTTAGACAAATAAAACATTGATAGGCACTTAATATGTGGCACAGCTGTGTGGGAAGTATTGTCAGAGGTGAGTGAACTTCTGTGTAGGTAATCATCTGATCTTCATACAGGATTGCTCCTGGCAGTTGTTACAGCCCTTTCAGGCTGGTTGGTGGATACTTTACAGTCACTTCCCCAGATCCTTTTCCCTTCCTGCTTGACAAACTCATTTCAAGTAACTTTTTCTCATCTACAGGAGATGAGAGGAAACTAATGCTGAGAAGAGAGATGGACGCAGACGTCAGAGGATGCCCTCTTTTTCCTCTTGAGATAATTCAGACAAACCCTTGCTCAGATACTTTCTGTGGAACAGAACCCAGAAGAGGATGCTGAACAGCTATGATATAATAGTTCTGAATTTTTTGTACAGAAGTGGGAGAAGAAAGCCCTTTGATCATTAAAAGGTATCTGAAATACTGGTTTGGGGTTTTTTTTTGCTTAGGTAATTCCTTTGGTTAGAATATCTAACTGGTGCAGTGAGCCACAAAAGCAGAATCTGTGTTTGCCTTTTGGATAAGAGAGGACCAAAAATTTCCCCAGGGCCAGACAAACTTTCATGGACCAGCTGCTAAGAATTTGAAAGGACATGAATTGAGATCTTGGAGTGTTACACTTTGATTAAATGTAGGGAATCATGTAAATATCAAAGTCGCAGTATTTAGTAATAATGTGTCATTGGAAAAAAACGTACTTGTCAATCCTAGAGCAAGCACATGAAGTGCCTCCTCAATCAGATTGTTATAATGATGGGGCTGAAAGGTGTGGGAGACATATATACTCGATTGTGTGAAGTAATAGATTTCCAGTATGAAAAAAGTCCCATCTTCTATAAAACCCACACTGGAAAAATGCTCATTTTCTATTCACAATTCTAGAGGTGTTTCGGAAAACTTGCTGGTTTTTGGGAGGAAGGATTTCACTGAACTTGTGCTCCATGTAGTGCTCCCAGGAATCTGAATGGTCGTCTAAGCAAAGCTCTGAGTGTTCGATAATGAAAGGGCAATGCTTCTCAGCCTGCTGACAGTCCCCTGTAAATGCAGGTTGACAGTTTGTTCACAAAATTTTGAAGGCACATGTGGTGAGGTAGCTATTTAGTACGAGTTTGCTTACAAATAATTTCCAGAGGAATTGTGAAATGTTGTCGGACTTGTGCTGCATGTAGGTAAAAATGTGAAAACGCTGTCTAGGAGCTTGAGTTATATCCATATTTATTCAGCTGGCTATATCTAGAAGACAGCCACAATTGCTTTTGGACAAAGTTCCTTAGCAAGATATAGAGGACCAGCTCAAAGTTCAATACGCTGATTATTGCAGCTTTCATTTTATTATGCTTTATTTATTACATGTCAGTAGACTAAGTTAATGTGAAAATGTTGCCTTCATTACATAGACTCTTACCCATGTTTGTAACTTCTGCTCTAATAAATAGTAATAAAAAAGAATAATTGTAATTGTTTGTGGTAGATAGATTTTCCCCCAGTGTTCAATACTGGTGATTCCTGCAGGCTTCTAAGCCAGGTTTTATTAGTCTTCTCTGTTCATATGTTCAGATGTTGAGTGCCTTTTCAGGGTCATGAATGACAAATGGTTGCTACTCAAAGTAGTGTTAATCTAAAGATCTAAAAAGATCTTATTTTCTTGACAGAAATATTTTCTGACTGTTTTGGAGAACATTTATGCCCCTCTTAAGTCTCCTTTTTAGTATTTTATACAGTTCTAATGAAGATAACTGTTGTACTTGTTGATTGTGTAAAATGTTTTCAGTTGCACTGATGTGACATACCAAGGGTGTTTTTTCTCTATGCAATATTTGCAGATTAAAGATGACAAAACTTCCCCCTCTGTCAATCTATAGACAGTTCTGTGTCCATGAGTACCCATTTCCCATGAGACAGGCCTTTCGATTACAGGTGAGGAAGTTATTTCTTTTTGTTAATCTGGGGGAGAAGGAAAAAGGATTTCCTTCGGTGTAAATTTCCAGTGTTTTATCAACGTGCTGTCACAATATTCAATAACAAATAAACACTCCAGTTCTGCAATTGCTTCTTGCACTTATATTGATTGAAACTGATAAAGCAAATCCTCTGTCTCCAAGACCTCATTCTGTGTAAAACTTTGTTAGTAAATAAAATATGCATGCACTTTAAACTGAGACACCATTGTAATCTTCATACCGAAACAGAACTTTTGTGATTCCTATTTGTTTATAGGTGACATTATTTAGAACCTGTTTTCAGTGTTTTAATATTAACTCATTACTTTTCACAAGATTATAGAATGGTTTGGATTGGGACATTAAAGACCATCTTATTCCAACCCCCTGCCATGGGCAGGGACACCTTCCACTAGACCAGGTGCTCCAAGCCCCATCCAACCTGGCCTTGAACACTTCCAGGGATGGGGCAGCCACAGCTTCTCTGGGCAACCCATGCCAGGGCCTCACCACCCTCACAGTCAAGAATTATTTCTTCCTATCATCACATTTAATATGAGCCCCATCCTTTCATATGCTGGACTGCTCAGTATAATGATATTATCCTGAAGTCTAATCTTTAAATATACATGTAACAGCTTGCTTTAAAACTTTTAAAATATGTAGCTTTGTGGATTGGATTTTTAGTAGTTACAGGAATAAATGTCACATCTCAAGTATGAAAGTTACAGAATGTTTTGACAATTAGAACAATTATTAGGTTAAAATATGCATTCAAGGCAGCATTTATATAGTTCAGCAGTGGAAATGCAGAACACCTTTCAGTTCAAGCCTGGTGTGTGCTGTTGTTCTTTTTAGGGAAACAGTTTACTCTGACAGACACCTATGAATTAGGGCCCTGAGACTGCAGGCCTTGCCATCAAATCTGACTTTTTGTACAGAACTAATGCAAATGCCTCTTCATAGAGTTGGTAGTCCTCTCAGGGAAGTTGGTTGAACAAGGCTTTGTTACTGAAAATACGTGACCTGTGGGTTGTACCTTGTGCTGAACACTGAAGTCAGAATCCTAAAGGCTGGTTTTAAAGCAGAAATACACAAAGCCCATTATTACATGAGTCCATCTGCTTGAAATACAATACAGCAATTATGACATAAAGCCCTTTCTTCTTAATCCAGGGGTTCCAGGCAATGCATAGAAATGCCTCACCTTTTGTAAAGGCCCTTACATAACTCTCAACAGAAGCATTTGTTACTGAACTTTTGTTTAGCTGAAACAGCAGGAATTAAGAGCTAATAGTGGTGTTTAAGAGCAGGCAGAATCCAGATAAAAGAATATCTGAATTTTACAAAGCAGCTGACAGTATGACAGAACTGGTTGGAAATGAGATGCTATTCATTTGTTTTGATTTGTCCTGGAGCTCCTTGAGTATTCCTTTATGACACTCCTAACAGGTTTTCGACACTTCAGATGAGGGAGACTGGTGACAGTCTCTGCACTTAGTGTGTCATCATGTCCTACCTGGTTAATGTACAGCCTGATAAGCTGCCTGGCATGGTTCTTTTTGTATAGTCATTGCTGCCAGTCACTGTTGAAGGAAGGGATCAAGTTGCAAGACCTGGTCAGGTCTTTTGCAACAGCAAAGCATATTGTACAACATGAACATGTTGTCTATTTAATATTCTGCTAAAGTTATGCTACACAGAACTGCATTTACTGGCATTTGGTTAGAACATATACTCATCTATGTGTTGGATAACTAAGACATTGGAGAAAAACATTAGAGGAGGGTTAAGAGTCACATGTGGTTGCAGTTAATAAAAACAAACACCACCATTATGCAAGAGTATTTTATTTTCTGCCTTAAACAAATAAAAACACATTTCCAATTTGAGGTAAACCATTAGTAGTAGTTTGCAAAGAGTATAAATGTCTCTAAAAATAAAACAGCAACACAAAGGTCATGACAGGATTTATGTTTGTCTCTAGACCTTCATTAGGTAGTTCATACAGTACCACTTTATTCATGCTGTCAAACAATCGTGCTCTTCATTGGAAGGCCCAGTGCAACCAATAGAAAATGTCAGGACAGTGTCTGGACTGAGGGAAAGTCACTTGTTCTCACCACAGATGGTATCAGACACTTTTACCACGTTGTGTCAACTTGTTTATGAAAGCTGCTATTGTGCAATGCACTCTACTTCTGAACACTTCTGCCTAGTCTACACCTTCCCACTCAGGACTCAGTTCATCATTTTGGTCGTGCTGCCAAATTGAAATGACCAGACAGCCAAGCCAGAGAAATGAAATAGAGGGAACTATACCAGACAGGCACCCTGGGATATTCTGCACCAGCAGAATCACCTGAACACAAAAAACATTCACAGGTGATCAGCAAATCATTATTGATCTTTATGAGAAAGTTTTACAGAAGTATTTTGGATGATGATGGAGCACATTTACATTTTTCCTTGGTCAGATTCATTTACCCAGCCTCTTTGGTAAGGAGGCAGGTCACACAGTAATTAAGCACAGATGTGAGCCAAGAGAGCAAGTAAGTAAAAAGCAACTCAAAGGTCACGTCCCCAGGTATACCATTGCTGGTTATCAGTGAGATTGTGCCATTTCTTCTAATGGCAAAGTTCCAAAGCGACAGGGGCCTCAGCACAGAATCGCTTACACCGTGTTATTTCATTGTGTACAGGAAACTTGTGTGAGTTACACTGACCAGGAACATTTTTCTACTGGTTAAAGCTGCATATACAAGAGCACTTGTTAATTATGCCGTACAAGCAACTTTTGTGGGTTTTTTAAGCATAGGAATCAAGAGCAGATGATCTTCCATATTTAATGTAATTTTATTAAAATTAACAGAAGAGTTTTACTAAGAAAATTGAATGAACAGCAGTCTAGTGCAGTCACACTTCATGGTGTACCTCTAGGGATGCCTAGTTCCACTCAGTATCTAAACCTTTGTAACACTTCAGATGCGAACGAAGTATATTAATCCACGCAGAATTATGCATGTTGAATACAGCAAGTATTCATCAGTCCTTATTAATTTTAAAGTATCTAAAACTGATTTAACCTCTGAAAAATTCTTGATCTTTTTTAAAAGCAAGGTAGTGTTTCACCTGTAAACCACTAACACAACCCTTAAAAGCCAAATTATATAATATTGAATTACGTTGCACAACAAATGAGTGCAGTGTTTTGTGGACAAATAAAATATAGTCCCTTTTCTAGAGGAACTACAACCCAAGGGCCACACACTGCAGAAGTTAAAACAAAAGAAGATGTAGTGGAATTTGTGTTGCATAAATGAAGTTACTCAAGTTTGTGTCCACAGTGGTAGGTTGTTAATGAAAAACTGGATTTCGACCTACTCTGCACTAAATGGTGATAGCAGAAAAACAGGAATAGTCCTTTATTGCCAAAATTGCAGTTTACTTTTGCAGAGATATTTGTTGTGCACACTTCTGATTATGTGGGTTTAAAGGAAGACAGACCTTCAGTAGTTTACCACTGAATTTGAGAAGGAAAACGTTGAAGAGAAACAATTCACTGTAACTCTTGGACCTTTTGTAAGCATTGCTGCTGCTGCACCTTGTTAAACAGAAGTGGAATGTTACAAATGATCCTTTACCATTCAAACACAGATTGTTCCTCACTGCGCTTTCTACTCTTTCTTTGCACTCTGGGCATCTTTTTCTTCTTCATCAGAGTACACAGTGGGTTCCTCCCCCTCCTTCAGCAGCTTACCAACATGATGATACTTAACTGGGGAGAAAAAAAAAAGAATCCAAGTAATTATTCTGCCCTGAAGATGTACCTTTTTAAACTCTGTGTTCTGAATTAATAAAATGCCTACTATTATAATAACTCTGAGCAACTTGTTCCCAACACTGTGGGGAAGGAGGAGAGTAAAAATCAACTACGTGAATTACTATTAACGTTGTAGTAAGTGAAAGAATCATGCCAAGTGAATGTAATTCTCATTCTATTGCCTAAGCCAAAAGATGAATGAATGTAAAGACAAAAAACAGAATCTTGGATTAGATTATTTCTCTTGCCAGTGTCAAAGGTGGTTTTTCAACCAGTGGTACTGTCAGAGTACTTACATCACATATTAAACACACACATACATATGTGCATATGCACAACATATACACGGCTTTGAAGGGTTTTTATTTTTTGTAATGTGTGTCGAAAATATCCAATAGGACAGAAGGGAGATCCTTTCTCTCAAAGATAAAGATGGATCTGTTATCCAATTATGTGATTAAGCCTCTTGATTTATTTTATATCTCATTCTGAACATGTAAAACCACCGAGATCGTGTACATGAAAGAACTGAGAGCTATACTGCGTTGCCTGTCTGTCGACTTCAACAAAGCAAAAGATGCCCCTGATGACAGGTATCTTGGCCTAGCACTGTTGTTATAATTTATAAGAATTGAAAGCAACTAATTGGCATATTTAATAGAAACCCAGTAATAAAAAGAGTGCAGTTCACTGTCAGTCCTGATGCTCAACTCTTGTAAAGGTACATTGAAATGCTAGTTTAGGTCAGATATTTGGTAGCATAGTTCTGGTTTCTGCTACATGCTTGTTAGCAAAATAAAACAGCCATTCAGTGTGGCATGATTAACAGTCTTGATTAAGACAGGAAGAGAGCCAAAATAGTAGGGGCACATCAGGTCAGGACTGAGATGTTCTAATGACATGATGTGGAGGAAAACTCCACTGTAGCCAGTTATAGTAAATCTTGGAACACTAGATTTAAAAACAAAACACATTTGATTTCCACTGTACTACTATGCAGTATGTGCAATTTCCCTCATGGGTATAGACATATAAATTCATCAGGACAAGCAACTGACATATTTATTTTTTGTCTTATATGAATAGAAATAATTGCCCTGGTGTTCACTCACTTAAAAGGCATCACGAGATATGGAGAAATTATTTTTCATCAACAAGATATGCAATAGGAGGGGAAAAAAATCATACTAGTGGGCAAACCCTGGTACAAGGTCAGCACAGCAACTTCCATAAAACTGTGGTTTGAAGTGGGTTTTGAGCAACAAATGGAGACACATGACACAAACCAGTCAGAATTGCTTTTAGTACTAAGCATAAAACAAGGCTACTATGAAAGTGATTTCCTTTGGTTAATTTTAGAACAAACATCTCAATTGTGAAAGTTGCCTTTTT